GTTCCTTCCCGATAGCGGAACCAAAAAAAGCGTTGTTGCGGCCGGGACATTTGGGAGATGCTCCATTAACTTTTTGTCTGGAAAATATGAGCAAGTGTAAATGTATCAAAAATTAGCTATCCAGCCAAGAGTTTTCTCCATGGCTAAAATCAGTACCAGGGAACATACATGAGGCACAGTGCGTTTTGTGCAAGAAGTCATTCAAGCTCAGAACGATGGGAATTAAGGCAGTGGAGTCGCACATGCGAAGCACGAAACACAAAGCGTCAAAATGGAGTTACAGAGAAACAGCCGGTATTTCTCAGTTTAGTTCCACCCTTGTCTCTGCAACGCCTCCACTTATCACCAAATCAAACATACTAAGAAAACCATACAAAGAAAAATAGCTGCAAAAAAGACAGCACTGGTTATGTTGGGGCTTTAAAACTGATTTGTTTTGTTCCCTGCTAAAACAAAGTTTGTGAATTCAGTTAAATAATTGTTAAAATATATCTGTCATTCATGTGTTTTTAGCTTTCTTCCTGTATGGGAAGCTTTTCAAATTTTGAAACATTAGTGCAGTGGTTTAGGTTAAAATAAACCTTTGGGTTAGGTTGTCGCAAGCAGGTTTTTCTTGTGAATTTGGTCAGAAAGTTTATTTTAAGTGTCATTAAAAAGTCTTAAATTTAACTTTCCTTATGCCTTAGGAACCTTGTAGCAAGAAGTGTGGTTGGAGGACTAGAGGTGACTTGTAATCCTAACAACATTTGACCAAGTGTCAAGCATGGTGAAGGTTTGCTCTGTGACCAGTTCTATTTGTGTAATGCACTAAAAGACTAGATTAATAAAAAAAGGGCTGCATGCTTTTTAACAGGAGCACTAGTGCCCTCAAATGTAAAACATTAGGAGCACAGAAAAAATTTAGAGGCGCTATGAAGTTTCTTCAATAGCACCGTTTAAAAAAAAAAGTAATTAACCTAGGTTATAATTCATGTCTCCTGAGGCTGTCTTTTTCTTTTTCAAATGGGTCACAAATGCTGAGTTACCTGCCAGTTTCTGCCCTTTGTGATTTAAGGATGTCTTCAAAGTCAATCCAAGGGAAGAATTGGATCCAATCTGATTTAACCCACTAAACCTCGTTAGCGGTGTCGCTAAGTATCATTAAAACACATAATACTGAAGGCCTCTCCTGTTTGCTGACATCTCCCATTAAAAAAATGTTTAGACTTCATAGTTCCACGCCTCATGTTGCCATGGTAATGCTGATATAACCCACCGGGTTACACTTTAGTTACGCTGAGGTTAGAACGCAGGTCTGCTGCTGAGGCCAGAATGTCCTTCACAGCTGATCACTTTTAACCATTGTGTTTGAGGTCTTTGAAGTGTTCACGGGGATTGACGTCTGAATCTTCGGCAGGCGTAAAGCTAACAGAACTGGCAGCGTTGTGAGGCAAGGGCTCAAACATGTACGGCTGGAAGCCTTCGACACCAAATAAAGCTTCTGCCGCCCTGGCGTCCGCTTTCACAACATCTTCATCCCCGCTTTCCTCCTCTAAATAAAAAATGGATGATGGAGGAGACTCATCCACGACCTCATGGATCGTGGATACACGACCCATGTATGGAGTCCACGGTCCTTGACGTGGCTGATCAAGGTTGGGATCCAGCCTGTGGTCCTTTTCCGCATGTCTCTCCCCCTCTCTCATACCCCCTTTCCTGTCAGCCTATTGTCCAAAAAACAGCCACTAATGCTGTAAAAAAAAATATGAGAGGAAAAAGAGAGTGAAATCACAGTAACTATTATGTTGTTTAAATAATTTTTAGATGCTCTAAACCCTGTGACGTAATGTGATGTGGTCTTGTTCCCTAAACTTGGCAGTTTTAATATATATCATTATATCAATATTATTTCATTATATCGATATATTTTAGGGATGCACGATATAATCGGCCCCCTATCGGTATCGGCCTGTATCGGCCTTAAAACTGAATATCGGACAT